GATAAATAATTTATAATGTGATACAAAATTATTTTAATTATTAATAATTTATTTAAAATATTAATATTTAATTTATAAATAAATATTAAATTAGATTAAAAGTTTAAAAAATCTTAAAAACTCTGTTTTTAATTAAAATTTATCTAAGTAATTGACATCTCTAAATCAACATTGATAAATACAAGTGTAATAACTTATATTTCTTAATCAAATTATCTAAAATTGCGGTAGATACTTCATCATATTATAATGCCATAATTAAAAAGAAAAAAAGAAAAAACTCTTTCATTTAAAAAAAATGGTTTTGGTGATCTAGTTAAGAGGCGTAGATTATTTAAACAAATCTTCCTATCAAGAAGATTAATTAAAAAAAAAAGCATATAAAAAGAAAGTACAAGATATATTATTGGCAAAAATTGTATACACTAACACGATCTTGGGATTTACTATAGAGTACGTGACCGTGAAGGGCAGGCCACATTTTGTCCTCCTGTATGATCATGTGGGTGTGTTTGTGTCGAGAGAGAATTAAAGCACTTTAAAGCTCATCCATTATTTGACTTGAGTGTGTAGGAGACTAATTGTAGAAGAAGAGGGAAGAAAGTTGCATTAAAGTTGTCATCTTTCGAGTTTCAAGAACTTTTTTGATATGGATCCTAAGGATATATTTTTTCTTAGGACGAGGGGGATGGACAGGAACATTGTGGCATGCCATTCTTTTTTGGGAGGACAGAGAAATCTCTAAAGCAGATTTCGTTCCATGCATTTATTAGACAGCTAACTATATACTAAAATGGAATCATACGTTGTTTCTCCGATGAGAATGATTACTTTATATTCCCAAACCCACTCTCATCATCCTTTCAGGTGGGGCTACCACTTTGAGTCTTTCATAATCAGTTTTCAAAAGTCACTTGTGATCGTGGTAAAAATGATTATGCAAAAGCCAAAATTATATATAGTAAACCCATAAGATCATTTTGGAGGCTTAATCATCTTAAATTTATAGTTAATAACAGTGAGACTTGATACGATCAATACCAACTATCACTATGAATGCATAAGAGAAACTCCACATCCACTTCCCCTTTTAATTGTCAACCATTTGTCCCTTCAGGCATATGCATGCCACAGGATTTTTCTTCCCTTCAATCTATTTTCCTCCTTCAAATGGTTTTATTACCCACGGGTCAAGAAGTTGCAAATTGGAAAGCAAACCAGAATAGGAAAAGTTTGAAATTTAGAAAGGATCACCACTTTATTTTGCTAAAAGAATACCATATATTAATGATTATGCCTTCGATTGGTCTCTACTAGTGTGTTTTTTATCCAACAATAATTAAATTATTAGTATTGATACTAATTTCATAATTAATATATATAATACTTCATATTATATAATCAGTACATTATACTTTATATAAATCTAAATTTATTACAAAGAGTAAAAGAAGTATTCTAACCAGTACAGGACTACAATTTCTTTGACCGACAATATTGAGAAATACAATTAAAAAGGACTCGCGCCACTTAGAAAACTAACAGTAATATTATCCCCCCTTTTCTAACATAAACTCAATTATGATCTAACTTTAATGATATTCAATAAATAAAGCAAATCAAAGGTACCCCTCAAAGCAAAATGTTGCTCGATCGCATCAATCAAATTAACCAATTTATAGTGTGTCAAAATTATGCATATGTAGTTTCTGAACCTTGTACCATGCAGTAGGCTACCATGTTGAAAATAATAGGCGGCAACATCTTAAGTAGAGGTGTCAAAATGGGCTCAGCCCGGTGAGCCAACCCGGCCCACCACGTGTTCGAGCCGGGTTGGGCTAATTTTTTTTTGCAAATTTCAGTGTGGGCCAATTTTAAACCCGGCCCACTAATAACCCGGCTCACCCGGGTTCAACCCGTGGTGAGCCGGGCTGACCCACCAGCCCATAAAAAAAAAAAAAAAAAACTTCTGCTATTGGGGTGGGCCAAATAAAACTTCATAGACCATCATAGGTTCTCAATTTTATGTATTTTTTCTTCAAATTATGTAATTAGTGTAGGAATTTATTTACTTTTCTCTAGAAAAGCTTATGTGCATACTATTTTTGCAGGATTGGGCATTAAATTTGATTACATTTTTTTAAATTAGGTGATTTTTTCAAATTAGGTGAGCCAACCCGTTTAGCCCACCAACCCGTGGTGGGCCGGGCCGGGCTCAATTTTTTCCAGCTCACCAATAAACGAGCCGGGTTGGGTTGGCCCACCAAAGGCTCAACCCGTGGTGGGCCGGGCCGGGCCGGGCCGGGTTACCCGTTTTGACAGCTCTAATCTTAAGGTACAGGTATAATAAGATTTTGGACAAGAAAAAAAAAAGTGCCTTCCAGCCTAGAAATTGGAGTTATTTTGTGAATTTTGTTTGAAATATATATATATATATATATATATATATATATATATATATATGTATATTCATATATATATATATATATGTTTATAAAGAAGAGAGGGTTATGTTGTTATTTTATGAGAATATTATTTGTGACATGTGTGATATTTACACACATAATTTTTCATGTTGATATAAACATTATTTATTTTAGAATTAAAATTTTATAATTTTATTTTTATCATTTTCCAAAAGTCCTTTTAATTAGTAAAGTATGAGTTTTATAAATTTTTATTTCTCTTCTTATTTTAATGATTTGAGAATTTATTTTCATCCCAACAATCTTGTCTTTTTGAAATGGCGGAAGGATTTTTGAAACACTTCTTATTTTCAAGAGAAAATTCTTGTCCTTTGAAGTATTTTGAATAATTTGGTCCGGACATCTTTATCTCTTGAGAATCTTGATCTGAACATCTTATCTTTTGAGAGTCTGAACATCTTATCTCTTGAAATCTTATCTGTTATCCTTTTGAAATCTTAAAGTCTTCAATCAAACATGTTGTAGGATTAGTAAATACGGAGTCAGATAATCTAATTTCTTCCTTTTGAGTTGGATCTTGCATTGCTTGAATTAATTTTAATTTTTTTTCAAACTCATCTTCTGATGTGGCAGATGCCAATTTAGCCATAATCTTGCTCTTCTGACTAAAAATTTTGTTTCTCCATCTAGATCTTTTTATGCCTTGATAGAAGCAGATGATGAATTTATTTTGATCCATTATTCGTCAATTCTTTTGAGAGTTAACATCTTAATATCAAGTTTTTTCCACCACTTAACTTTAATGAATCTGGTTAAGAATAATAAATTGTTATTGAAGTATGGTTGTCTATATATCTAATTCCAACTCATAATTCAAGTAATATTTTGTGAGGCAATAAAGGATATAAACTTATATCTGTCAAAAATGTATTATTCTCTCGGTCAAAAAAGTTTAACCCTCCCAGAATTTGTTTATTTATTATTGACTGTATGTAATTTAACCAACATTAAGGTGTACCTTTTAACTAGAAATGCAGACTGAGCACAAAAAACAAAGTGGTGAATTTTTTTCCTCCAAATGAGAGATGCTAAAGGGACAGTCTAACAACAACTAGGGACAGGGTGGCCTGATTGATAGACTTTCAAGTACGGAGGGAAGTTTGTTTGGTGATTAATGACAATGTTTGGCTTTGTGTCCTATATGACATAATAATTAAGTTTACTTTTGAAGCCGCGCATGATGGCATCACTTTATAGTCTTCTGCTGGTCCTCGCTGCACCCAAAGGCCAACTCCAAGAGTAGCAATGATCCCACAATATATGTCTCTACTCGAGTATATGACATAGACGAGAGAGTTCTCTTAACATGATGTTGATAAGGGAAAGACTTGATAGTTGAAACCATCCAACTAATGCAGATATAAATCCTTCTCCAATAGTACGCCAAACCAAACCAAACCAAGAGCTTGTGCATATGTAGGCCATTATGTAAAAAGGACAATGCAAATACACAATTGCACGAGTCTCAGTCTATACAGCCAGCCACATGGGTGACAGCGTCAGTACCGAATTTTCAGTAAAAGTCAAAAGTACAGTATAAAATATATATAAATCCTTTATCCATTCTTCTCAATTATAACTATATATACTACTGTGTAGTATCTTTTTGAATAAGCTTTCTAGATTAACCAATAACAAAACATTTTAGTTTTTTGAATTTTAAAAATCTTTTATTAATACTGTATATAAAAACGTAATTTACTTTTTGCTTAATTGTATTTTTAGTTTATCAGCTACATATTGCCATATTGTAATTAAATTGTGTTAATTGGGCTCCTCAATTAATTTCTTTCATTTGCAATGAGGTCTCCATCTTGATTTCAGTCAACATTTAACTCAATGTTTGCTCATAATAGAAACATATTTTTTTGTTCTTTATTGATGTCATAAAAACAATAATTCACCCAAAAAAACATGGTCAACATGACAATTAAGTCAACACAATTAGAAATTTAGAATACTTGGTTAAGATGATTGTAGTTTAAATATTATGTATTTTTAGTTACTATAATGTATATAATCGCAATTTGTCATGTTAAATATCGGATGAAATAAGGATGGAAGAACCTGATTTTAAAAGGAAGAAAACTTACAAGACCTAATTAACACGATTGAATCTTAAGACCAAAATCGTATAATCACATGTCTGATAGACTAAAAATACAAGTTACCAATTAAGAACCTTTCTTGGTAAAAATGGTGACACCCCTTTGTACTAAACTTGATCCATTAATGTAAATGTTTTGGCCATGTGAAAATAAAAACTTATCTTATTCCATACTCGTAAGTGCCTTGCCCTTCACAGATATACTCTTTTATTCCATTTAAAGGTAGGTGTCAAGAATCAAAAAATTACATTTTCTTAAACTAGCACCCAATTACAAGGGCACGAGGAAAGTACTCTGCAAAAATGGTAACACTGAACCACGAGGCTCCACTCTATGATAATAACCTCTCCCATGAAGAGACTCCTCCAAGTCGAAGCACAGCATTGCAAAATCCACATGAGAAGAAACAGCTATCTGTTGAGGCAAAAGCAGATACTTTGTTGGATCTAAATGCCCCTAGCGATGATTCTGCTGTTGGGTGCAGTCCAGTGCTGAATCTTATTACATATTTAGACACGGATGAAAACCCTCATGGAGTGTTCTCTTGCAAGTACTGCCAGAGAAAGTTCTACAGTTCACAAGCTCTCGGGGGACACCAAAATGCTCACAGGAGAGAGAGGTCATTTGCAAAGAGAGGTCAGAGATCAGGAACAACTTTTGGGATACCCTTTCTTCATAATAATCACCTTCCACACTATGCCACTATGGCTTCTCTGCCTCTGCATGGTGCTTGTAGTAATAAACCACTTAGATTTCAGGCACACTCCATGGTTCAGAAATCTTCTCATTTTTCATTCAAAGGGTTTGGAAGCACTTTGGGACATCATAGGGGGTCAAGACTCCTTATTGATCAACAACCTGGAATATGCCACAAATCGTCACGAGGCAGTGTTGGGAGATTCGATGTGGTGAAGACCATGACCAATTCAGAAACCAATGAAGAAATCAGTGGGTATCTGGTTAGTGGAATTACTCGTTTGAAGACTAACCAAGAAGGAACGAAGCACCTTGACTTGTCCTTAAAGCTCTGAACATGTGCTTAGGGTTAACTTTTTGCCAAATTTACTTTTTCACAGCTTGTAATAATGTATTGCGTAAATTTGTTTATGAAAAGATCAAAGTTCTTTATCTGTTAATGAATATCAATTATTCAACTCTTGTAACGTGTAAGGTCTCAATAGTTTGTTAAGTCTTTTTCTTTCTGATTGTTATCCATTCAGTAAAATTAGGTGAAATTAAATTAGAGGAGTTGAGTTTAGCTTCCCATAAGTGGTTAGTTTCAATTCTGGGCTAGAATGTCACATTTGGTTCCAATTTAAAAACCATCGTATTAGCCCCACTAAAACCATCCGCAAAATGAAATTAATTAAATCTATAAACTAATAAAAAATATATAAAATAACTTTCCAGTTTCCACCCATTAAAATGTCTTGCCACATGCCATAGGACAGATATCTGGTTCGATCAAGGCTTTGCTTGTCTAACTGGACTGGGTGCCAACGCCAACGGAAGTTCTGAGAATTCAAGATCCATTTATTTTTCTAGGAAACGTACGTATGCCTCGGTTGGCCACTTGATAAACAAATTCACTCTAAATTGTTTACATATATTAGTGGTATTTAATATGGCTGACAATAAAAATTGATGTAAAATCTTTTAAAACATTTTTACATTAGTCATTGTATTCAGTATCGTTAAAATATTTACTAGCAATTATTCTGTATATTGGTAAAGATCTTTATAATGGTCAGAAAAGTATAATTTTTTGTAGTATTTTTCACTGGCATTTAAATAATTCTTGCTATTGCCACTAAAAGTTTAAGAAATAATTCATAATACTCTTTAATTACTTTATTTCTAGTCGATTCTAGTTGATATCCGACTTTTAAAATGAGGGTTGTCTTCTAAGATAATGGTTATCATCTACTTATATATTCTTTAATTTCCTTATTTTTTTCAATCATCTTATCTTCTAATTAATTATTTTATCTATAATCGATGTGAGATTTGATTTTTCCCAATACACTCCCTCAACTTTGGCATTATTAAGTTTGGTAATGATGAATAATCTGATACCAATTTAGGATAGTAAGTTATAAGTTTAACTCAATCATACAAAATAAACTTGTAAGGTGAGAGTCATCATCCACTTATATACTCTTTAATTATCTTATCTCTAATAGATGTGAGACTTAAATTTTTTTTCAATAAATAATTATTACTAATAATAAATTTTAATGTGATGTAAATACCTGTTTAATAGTTATTATATATTAGTGATCATTAATATTTTTATTAAATAATAAAATAAAAATAATTAAGTTATTATCGTTAAATAATTGTCTACAATAATAAATTTTGTCATAATGATGGTGCGGATATTAAAGAACAATTAGAGGCACATTCATGTACATGATCCACGCTTAAGCAAGGTCAGGGGTTCGAATCCTGTCTTGTCTTGTGTATGCAGCCGCGTTTAATTTTGGGGCCAGCTATTCCACCCTTTGATGTGCCTCCAACGTAGCGAGGAGATTAGTTACTGCTATCGGCGAACAAAAAAAAATGTACATGATCTTAAAACATAATTGATATGGTTAGATAGTGGCCCTTATACGTAACTGGGCCTGTATGAAATTGGGTTGCTTCTTCTGCGGCTTAATGCTATTCCGATATCCAGCCAGCGTGGTGAAGCATGGCCAATATATGAAGAATTTATTGTCGTTGAACGGATGGATGAAAAGGGAGTTGTTAAATGACAATGATATTACGCTGGACGTACGCATGCAGCAAGTGAGAAAGCTACAAAAGCTGCATACAATCACAGACAATACACGTGACTTTGCATGTGTCTTTGAGTTCTTCAGATATATAACTACAAGAGATGTGAGGGTGATATGGATCGTGACTTTTTTAGGGCCCAAACAAGGAACAAATGCACACCAAGGGAGAATCCTAGGGCATTCCAACCCATGCAAAATCCATCACTAGCCAAATAAAGTTAAAGATATATATATAGAGTTAATCATCCCTACACTGCCAGTGTAAATTTTTTTACACTAGCGACCAATCATATCTTTTAAATTATTTTATTTTAAATTATTTGATTAAATGAGCAAATGACATGACACTATCAAGATCACTATTAAAAGATATCATGTCACTATTTTATTTTATTTAATAAAATAATAATACAATAAATAACTTTAAAATATATAATTAGTTGCTAGTATAAAAAAACTTTATATTAGCAGTGTATAAGTGTTTAACTCTTAATAACTTTATATATTATAAGTTAATTTTATAGAGTTGAATTAAACTCATATATATATATATATATATTTATATATATATATATATCCATTCCATAAACGATCTACTCTTAAAAATATTGTTTATGGTTGGAGCAATAAACACCATCATGAAATTGTTTTAATTTATCTAAATTTTGAGTTCAAGATTTTAAATGTAGCTATATTAAACATAAAAGAATTTTAATAGACCGGAACAAAATTATTTCTCATAGAAGATACCCAAAATAGTTGGAAAATGAACAATATGGGAGGTTTGTCGTGGAGACATATTTTAATGAAAGGAAATTGGTTATTATCTATTTTATGAGAGAATATTGGTATATGTGTTTTATAAATTATATATATAATTTTATTTGTATATATATATATATATATATATATATTAATAATGTGATATTTTATTTGTATTTTTTAAGTTTAGAATATATAAGTTGAGATAATCATGTAAGCCCACATAATATTATATATATGTCATTTAATTCACGATGAGAGCATATAAACATCCAATTGAAAAGGAATGGGCTGAATTGGAAATTCATCATATAAGCTGCAGGTAATATTAGATCATATTTTGGTGGCGAGCCAAATTAGGTCAAATCTTATTACATAGACCTGATTAATGCAAAAACTGTTCGGTATATATATATATATATACACTATAGTTAAGTAGAGAGTGTTTGGATCTGGTTTTCTCCCCATACTGGTAGAAGCAAGAACCTATAGCATCTACCCAAACACACGGATAATAAAATATCTTATATAGAGGAATGCTATTCGGTATGAAGAAAAGTTTTCATCGATATAAGTACGAAATTAAGTTGCTGTTTTTATTGGTTAAAAATTAAACAAGAAATGGGGGAAGTATTGAAGAATTTGACAGAAAACATGTTTCAGAGTCATCCATTTTCTGTGTTCTTGTTTGTCAAAACCATTTCACACCATATTTAGCAAATTTCTATTAAAAAAAATTAGTAAGATTTAATGGTAACAAATATTGAAAAAGGTGTCTACATTTAGTTACCGTGCCTCCAACAAAATTGTTACCATAAAGAAAGATAGCTGTGGGGGAATAATAGAGGAGTAGAGGACTCTTAGAGCTCAATTAATGAAATGAAAATTGTGATGAGTTATGAAGGAACGTCAAAGGTTATATAGACTATAGTTTATATGCTATTCTGGATAAATATAAACATCCTTTTCGACCCATCACAACTTGACAAAGTTATTTCAGGAAAAGCGTCTAACTTCTTTTTCTCAAAGAAAAATAAAAAGATAAAGATAAATATGACAGAAAGCACGGTTTCCTTTGGTACTGAATGATGAGAAGCTTCGTGGGAAGTGGGTCTTTCTGTTTTCTACTCATGTCTATCCATTTTCACCACTCACCCAAAAGAAAAAAGATAACATCACCAGCAATTATGAACCTCCCCAGAAATTTACCAAATGAACATATCATAAGTAAAAAGGTTGCGGTAGGTCCACATTCTTTGTGTGTGGATCGGAACACCAAACGCAATGCACTTGTTTCTCTCCTCTTTTCATAATTTAATTTCTAGATAAAGTTTAAATTAAATAATAGTAAAGTTTCATTATATTGCAGTGTACTGGTTTTGATCGTTGTCATTTGCCTTCCATTGTGGAGGGAGCAAACACAAACACAGGTTCAAGTTATTAATCCACTTTGTAGCCATTAGTTTCAACAGCACTTTTCAAGTTGGGTCTCCTTAGTAAATTACGTAGTAAGGATGGGTTCGACTTATCTTTACTCAAATCTCAACTAATCTTTTTGACTGCTTATTTTTTAAAATTTAAATTCAACGTAATTAAGACCGTACAGTATATAGAATAAGGTGTCATTGATTCAACTTTCATATATTATATTAATTTTCATATTATACATAATTAAATTATAAATTAAAAAATAAAAAACTTAAATTAAAGTATATTTTAAAATAAATAATATTATGGTTTTGATCGTTGTCATTTGCCTTCCATTGTGGAGGGAGCAAACACAAACACAGGTTCAAGTTATTAATCCACTTTGTAGCCATTAGTTTCAACAGCACTTTTCAAGTTGGGTCTCCTTAGTAAATTACGTAGTAAGGATGGGTTCGACTTATCTTTACTCAAATCTCAACTAATCTTTTTGACTGCTTATTTTTTAAAATTTAAATTCAACGTAATTAAGACCGTACAGTATATAGAATAAGGTGTCATTGATTCAACTTTCATATATTATATTAATTTTCATATTATACATAATTAAATTATAAATTAAAAAATAAAAAACTTAAATTAAAGTATATTTTAAAATAAATAATATTATGTTATAAAAATATTAACAACTAAATAATTTTTTATTATAAATACACAATAATTTAATAAAACTTATACTTTTTAAGAAAATATGATCTATTAAATTGTATTGAATAGTCTGAAATGCAGTTCAAATCATTCTAAAATTCGCTAAATTCAATTTTAAAGATTAAATTTGTATAAATAAATCTAGGTCAAATTAACATATTGGATTGTACCATACTCACTCTTATATTCCATCCAATTGAGGAAAGTATTAACTTAGGTATTAACCGTAAGTGTTTTAGTTATTATTAGCTCTATGCCTATATATATACACTTGTAATAGCCTTTGGTAAATTTTGCTGAGTTTTCCTTCTCTATACACAATATAGAAAGTATCTTTTATCCATATCTTCTTTCTCTCCACTAATACTAGTCACAAACTCCATAACAACTTCACAAGTCCTTTTTTTTTTTTTTTTTTCAGCTTGAAAATTGTACTAGTCAATTGAATGGAAGAACATATAACATCTTTTAAAATTAAA